AACCCCCTAATAACCTCAAAATAACCCCGTAATAATCACAGCGATTTCACTTCAATAACATCCACGATGTAGCACACATGACTGCAAATTACTGAAAGTCTGCACTCAGAGCTGCGTCCCGAATGTGGATGTAAAATAATAGTTGTTTCAATTTAGATTTATGCAATATGTAGGTAGGCTGCATCCCCACTAAAAAACTTCAATCCGATGCGACATACAACAATTTTGTACCTAATGTCAAAAAAGGCGGCTGCAGAGTGAAGCGGATTGCGAAGACGTACCGGAAAAGAGGAGCAAATCTCAGCCAGGGCGAGTCCGACGAAGCAAGTGAAGAAGGAAACAAGAAGCCATCCCCAGACTAAGCTCGCCGGCCCTGCATACAATAAGCTCGGTCCGTACAGAGGTATTCCGGCGAACATCGTCACCGTCGAGAACGTTATTGCCAAACTTTTGAACAGAGTCTGAATCCGGCCGCCGGAAGCAGAGGAGCCAAAACATACAACAAATTAGTTTAATGAAGTTACCCTAAACTTTCAGAAGCGTTTATTTATATACGTGATTCATGTTTATGGTTTACCATCTCTCTTCTTAGCTCCTGCTTGTAGCCCAGCTCGTTGAGTCTCTTCTCCCCGGAATCCATTTTTGTTCTGCGTCTCCTTCTCTCCTTCCAGACTTCCTCCCTGGTCTTTTTAATGGCTGCTGGGATCTCCCTTCCTTCTTAAATTTTTAAAGTTCCAGGAGACCTGCGCAATAAAAATTGCTGAATTGATTATTAAAAAAAGATAAAAAGCGGTGTTTGGTTCATTTTGACTGAAATTTAAGTTGGTGTAATATAAAGTATTATCGACTATTTATATAATATATTAATGTTAGATAAATTTTATAATTAAGTAATTATCATGATTATATTTTTATCAAAAAATTTTTGATCAAAGTCTTTTTAATAAAAAAAAAGGTCAGATTTTTTTTTCTTGTTGCTTGTCATGCAAATCAGTACAAGATTTTTCTTAGGGAAAATTATATTCATAGCACCCAATTCTTATGGATTTATCTATCTCACACCTAAACTTTTACACTTACAGCACTTACTTATGAATAAAAATACGAAGTTGACTATTAAAAGGTGATATTGATCGCTATTTTTCATATAATATTTGTAATTATAAAAGTTTAGGCATCATATAAGTGAATATATATATATGTATATATGTGTAAAAATCCCTTTTTTTTATTATTAATCATGTTTTGGGAAAATTTATGAGTGATTATACTCTTAGAAATGTGATAGAATAAAAAAGTAAAAGCCTGTGCTGCTAGGATTCTCTTTGCTCCCTTGTGAACCCTGCTCTATGTCATGATCCCGCACCACATGAGAGAAGATGACGTTAATGGCTCTAATCGTCGGTTCCTGATCCATGGGAAGGCGCTTCCTGCACGCAGCAGAAATAGAAAACGTAAAATAAGTGGTTAATGGCTAACAAATCCAAATTGTTCAATGTTTAGTTGAAAATAAGGCATAATATCGGCATATTATGCCTTTTAAAAAATTTATATGATGGATTTCAATCCTCGAGAAAGGGAAGCCGAGCGTAAGCGTAAGGAGCAAACATCATGCCGCTTCGGTGCAGGATGTCACGCTCCGCCACATACAAGAATTTGAAAAGACAATTATGGGATGGAAGATTCTAAAGAAGGCCAGAAGGTAGAGAATCATCCAAGAAGTTCTAGAAGATTCCACCCAATTCTAGAGAATAAGACGAGGAAAGGCTCCAAGGTGAAATTAAGAATAACCTAGAATGTTCTAGGGCTATGTATGTATGCATGAATAATGGAGAACTGTCTAGAAACTAGGATATTCTCATGTATTCTACAATATTCTCATGGTTTGGTGGGGGACTATAAATAGAGGTCCATCCCCTCATTTGTAATCACCCAAGCATTCAATCAAAGCTTCCAAGTATTTTAAGTGTGAAGTATTCATTTCTCTCTACTCTTCTTCTTTAGAGTGCTTGGTGCTCACAAGTCCAAGCGTTGTGAAGATTATGCTGATTTAGTGCTATAGGAGAGCGCTAAAGCCACATGGGTGAATTGAGGAAAGTTAGTCCGTGAGAGGGAGCTATGATCTCGAGCATAGCCACAGAAGGGTGTGTGAAGGGAAACATCTTCAAGTAGGCGAGAGCGACTTTGGCTTGTGTTCGGACACCTGAGACGGCTAGCAAAAGGGAAGCAAAGGAAAATTAGGGCCACCGTGCGTAAGAAATTTTGGTTGGTTCGTTATCCTGGCGTTTTGTTCGGCTCGAAAAGCAATGCGAGCTGAGCAGGCATTGGATTAGGGCATCAATTGAATAAGATGTTTTGATGCACATGACCGAATTATGGCGTGAGTTGCAATAAGTATTTATACTTTTATAGATTATAAATTTATATAATAATTAGGATATAAGCAATGCCTAAGACGATTTTTTAGGATTTTCTAGAGGTAGAAGAATGTATTCGACATCTACTCAATTGTCTAGCAAAACTTAGATGTGTGATTCTAATATTGTATTGTTTTAATTATTCAAGGCTATTAATTATTTAATCTTAATTTTCTTGAATGTAAAAATGAAGCAAAGTTAACTCAAAATTTTATTCATGAATGTTAGATATTATTTGAAATAAATAATAATAATGATGATGATGATGATGATGATGATGATAAATTAAATTATTAACTAAGATAAAAAGAGAAATTTGGAGAGAGAATGTTATAAAACATCTAAAGTGAAATTAAGAGATTTGAAAATTTTAATTATAAATAAAAATACTATTATATGTCAAAAAAAATGGATAAGTATTATGATGGATGGAAGAAGAATTTAGAATTGATATGTATTCAACAATTCTCCACCATCCGATATGAATCTCGAGGCATTACTCAAATCTTGAGCCAATCTCTTAAACAAGAAGCATTCAAACTTCAATTAAAAGTCATCCAGA